TGGGAGTGTGATGTTTTTTATTTATTTGTACTATTTAGAATGTATGTATTGTAACTTTCGTGAGACATCCTTACTAATATTAATATAATAAATCGGAAAGTGAGTTTGTTTGTTTGTTTGTTTGTTCCGCTTTCACGCCGTAACTACTTAACCGATTGCTATGAATTTTTGTAGTCCGGATTAAATAATAGGGTACTTTTTATCCCGAGGGAAAACAAAAGTATTGGTATAGATGGCGCTGTGTGTATTGATATAATTATGTCACATAGGCCACTTCTTATCTTTTTGTGACGCAAGCGAAGCCGCGGGTTAAAGTTAGTACTAAATAAATTATTATGTTTTCGGCTTACTCACGTAATAATTTGACGAGGAATTCGACTAGTTTCAAGCCATGCTAGAGGCTCATAATCATGAGCAGCATTTCGTGACCCGCGACGCGGTGACTGTCGCGCTGCTATTCCAGCAGCAGAGTTTATATAGAATGTTTGTGTTTTTAGATTAGTTTTCTTTGAATACCTACTTATTTAGATGAGTATACAAGTTTTTATCAGGTTCATTTTAAAATTAATCGGTACAGTAGAAATCCTTATTACAGGTAATATAGGTCATAACTCGTTATCGACGCGTACCACTTGTCACACATTAGTTTTGTGTCACTCATTTTGATAATTTGTTTTCTTAAAACCTACCTTGATTTCTTCTGCAGTTAGAAAGGACGAGAGGAAAGACAAACAACAAATAGATTTGCCGATAAGCAAATTTATTCCAAGAAGTATTACACATATCTTAATAATTACGATATGTCAAGAAGTCTTTGAAAAATCACCGAAATTATACAATTTATTAACACAATAAATAAACATTTAGAGTAATATTTAAAACACTATAACAAAATAAACTTATATAAAAATAATAAATACATTGGAAACAGTTTTAATAGCCTGCAATACGTTTTATAAATGATGTTCTGAGTGGCAAGCACGAATAACTATCGCATTCGTATCGTAACAGTATCGAGCGAGTTAAGCGTTCTGATTGGTTGGTTCACTTGAGCCGGCCAATCAGAACGCTCAACTCGCTCGATACTGTTACGATACGAATACGATAGTTATTCGTGCTTGGCTCTCTGACAAAATTTTACTACTCGAATGAAATTTCGAGACAAGAATTCACGTGAAGTTTGTACCTATATATATATGTTATATATGAATAAGAATGCACTTTATGTCGTCAGCCTGTAAGTGATGTAGCTCGTAACTATATTATACTGTCAGGAAACGAAAAAGCTATTACAATTTTTATATTAAATACCTTTCATTTTGAATTTTAATTTATATCAGCTTTTAACATTAAATAATTCGACAATTAACGCGTTTTCTATACACAATGTTTTGAAATAACATTAAGAAAGTATGTTTTTTTTAAATCAATAGGTTATTTTTAAATTGTATTCTTAAATATTCGAAATTACAGTATATTAAAACGCTTCCAAGTTGTATATAAAAAAGACACAATCAGAAACTTTTACCATTTCAATATTTGGATAATTATAATTTTTGTAGATCATATTTCGTATTATACAAAACGTATAATGGTTCAGTAAGTGGTAACTGTCTCCGTATGTAACTATTTTTAATATTTAAAAAATAACAGTAGAACATAGTTTGATAATAGAAATTATAAGTAAAACGTTACATAAAACAATATTGCAAATAAATTAGCGGAATCGATTAACATTCATTTTTTATATTTATAATATTTCTTCACATATAAGTTAGTACTATTTACAATACACAAATTTTTCTATAGTATTTCATCAGGGTTTTTGAATTTGACCCTAAAACCGAAAACACCTTCGTAATTTATTATTTACACTTACTTATACAAAAATTATGAATGTAATTCATAATTTAGAGAGTTATAAATTTTATAGCATCACAGTGTATTCATTTAATTAATTTTATTTATAGAAATTCAAAGTTCAATTATAATAATTTACTTATAATCTAATTACATTCAAGTTGTGACGTATGATAAATATATGTATATTGAGGAGAAATGATTTTATGTTTTCTAAATAAAACAACTTAATTCGTAAATATAAATAAGTTAAACAATAACAAAGAATACAATTTCCAAATAAATTTCAATTTCAAACGCATTACTAAGCTTTTAGAACTCTGCCCGGGTATATGGCAATAGGCTCACCCTTATTACATGGGAGTCATGACGTAAATAGTCAAAAGTGGGTGTTACATTGTACAGTGGCATTAAGTGCCGTAAATGTGCACCTCTGCCTTTTCCTTCGGGGATAAAAGGAATGATTTTATGTCCAACAGTAAATTATACGTACATTAATTTACTATAAAAAAATGCGGGTAGTACAGAATAACGTGAGAGTGAACAAAATAGACACGTAGTTGGGAGGAAATACTTCTCTATATGTGTATCCTTAAAGGTATTTACATTCCATATTCCGAGTGTCGACGACACGGAAAAACTTCCTCAAGGAAATATGATTAAGAATCCTTAAGAGGGTCGGATAGGCCATAACTTGTGTACATTCACTCAGATTCTATGTACTCAAACCAAATGTACTTATATGAACATCCTATTTAATATAACAATGGAACATATGTATAAGTTTGGAATATTTATTTTTTGTTTAAAAAGTATAACTGTAAAATGTCTTTTACTAGTTTTAACGAAATTATATTTAATTTTAATTGTACCTGTAGCTATAATTCCTCCGTTATAATTGAATATACATTTAAAATAACAGAACTATATCGATAACATGTTTTATTGTCTACATTCCATTCAAAACTGTATAAATTGCTTTAACATGGTGATTTTATACAAAATTAATACAAACCTCATATTATTAATAAACAATTGTAACTTCACCAACATTAATAATTTATGATATTTTAATATAATAATAACATTATTGAGCCAGTTTCAGAAAGTATAAAATATATTTACAATTTGAAACTTTATGGACAAAAATATTTCATTTATAAAATTTACTACAAAAATGTAATTATGTAAAGAAAAAAAGTAGCTAGTATTTTATGTATAACGTAATATTGTTATAACTATTTAATTAATATAAATATTCTAATATAAATTCTGAGTAACAAAACCGATACTAAATTATGAAGAACATTTATGTGAATGTTCGTTAAATAAAATTGAAACTACACATATTTTAAGAAGGACACTTAGTTTTAGGGGAAACAGAAATAATGAACACATGCACAATGTGAGGTGTAAAGAGATTTCTTTTTTATCTCTAACGAAATGCTTTATTCCTTTTAAGCCCATTATTTCTCTATCTCTTCTTCTCTATTGTTTTATGGAATAGGAGGCAAACGAACAGACGAATCACCCTAATGGTAAGCGATCAGCGCTGCCCATGGAGACCCGTCACACCAGAGGAATCACAAGTGCGGTGCTGGCATTTTAAAAAGAAATACGCTCTCCTCGTTTGACAATACAATCATACTGTAAATGGCAAGGTAACAAGTCTAAAAATAAAACGATGACTAAAAACTTTAACTGATTTTTACACAACTTGCCTATATCATAATCAAGATAGTGTCATCTAATAGTGAAGATAAATATATATTTCATATTCTTCACACTCTGTTGTCAAAAAGTAGGCATAAGTAAAATTTTCCGTGTTAAAAAACCAAAGAAATCAGTAAATGGACCACAGTTACTATTTATAACGATTGTAATTAAAGTAAAGTATGATTTTAACTTTATAAAGTTAAAGTCAAAGCATTTTTTTCAATTAATCCTTAACTAAGCACTTTTGAAACGTCGATTTAATCGCCCGTCCGTCTGTCTGTCAGTGAAGCCAGGCGCTCGTTCCTAAATGTAAAGTCGAATGGAGAAGCCCAAGCAAGAACCTCCATTTTAACTATTATAAAAAAATGTTTTACACAATCTCATTGATACATTATCTGATCCTTCACCTATTATCAGTTTAATCACGTATCCTCCCACAAGTCTTATAGACTTTAGTCATATTTCCGAAATTCTTGTTCAGAGGATAATATTTATTTCGACGTGGGCGATACCTAATTATAACAAAGTAAGATATCAGAATATTCAGAATATTTATAGTATAATAAATATATTCAAAAGCTACTTATGCTTGTTATAATTTTCATTCTTGGAAAAAAAAATGATTACGTAGTTTAAATTTAGATTTGTCCATGTTTTTATACAAATACGTAGGTAGATATTATTATATTTGCTAAGTACTGAAATGTATTTCGAGAGGAAAATTTAAATGTTCTACTTCTGAATATTTGAAAACATTCACAATTTACTTTGTTCAAGTAGAATTTAACTTTATTTGTTCAGCATTAAAAAGGAATAAAACACATCGTGATATGTATATACATTATTTGTATACCATCAGTAGTAATATACATAATCTATTACAGAATAATTGCAGTTTTTAGAACATTTAATTACACTTACATATAGGTACTTTTAGATAGATATATCTCTTTTTGAAAGTGAATATTGACTATAAAACGAACATTTTGTTTAATTTACATATTTTTGTGTCAAAGGGAGCAAGTTCGAACAGTCTTTCACAATTTTTTTCGATGTATGTACAAAAATATCAATCCTTCACATCCGAGGAATATGTCGAAACGATAAAACCGTATATTTTACTAAAACAGTACCAAAATAAGTTGTATTACAACCACGCGAATTAGAATAACAAAATTCAATATCGAAACTTAAATTCGAATATTTTTCTAACATCTTGCGTTAGATAAACTGAAAACGATTCAGTATCTATAATAATACACCAATTGATAACAAAAGCAGGTAAGAAATTAAACTTAAAATGATATTCTAAAACAACATTAAGACGTATCACAGACCTAACTCTAGATAGTAAAAAATATTCTAGAAAATAAACGTGCAACATGATCCCTTTGACTCAAAGGACTTATTTCCTATAATTCAGCCTAGACACAACTTTCTCTCGCGTTTGCTAGCAAAGGAGTTCTAGTTGTGACGACTTCTCTCCGTCTGGAGAACGTCCCGCTTGTCACACTACGACGATCTTCGGCCAGTGTCCCGATGCTCTGAGTTGAAAGGTTGAAATTAGATTTGTTTGTCCAAAAAATATAAGGGACAGACAAGTAAGGGATATTTTGCCAGTCACCCTTCTATAGCGATCACATTATATTATGTATCTAAGTGTCTAATAAGTAATAAGACTTTAAATAATGACCCCTATTCATCGAACAATAACAGCATTTCACTATTCTTGAAATTAAAAATTTTCAATTTAATTAAATCATTTTTACACAAACCGTCAGGTGAGCCAATTGTCAATAAGCGTAAAATTAAAAAGATAATCTTTATATTTCGCTAACTCAGCAAAAATTTGCAAAGAAAAATATAACTCTTGAGTAAATTCGTGTTAAAAATAACTCTCAACGCTAATTAGGGTTTCAACCTCTAATTAATAATTACTCGCGATCTAAAATTGCTTATCGCGCCTAATTTAAAATTAAATACGATCTTTCTGTTAAAGGTTAAAAAACAAACCGTTAATTTACGGACCTATTCTCAACGGAAAGGTTATTTAAAAATGAACAATGTAGAAATATTTCGCTACCTTCTTCAAATATATTTTCTGCACAAGTTACTTGTAAATAACCTTTAATCTGTCAATCACTTTTATTCTATCAATCGTATTTATAAGTTTTAATACTCACATGGGCATCAGACGCAGGTGTGATCGGTGTGTGCGGAGTGACAGGCCGCATGTCGTGATGATGCAAACTGTTAGAACTACGTGAAGACCCCACGGGAGGAGACATCACTGTCCCATAAGGCGGGGGCTCAGGGGGCCGCTCTAAGTCCCGCGCACTGTTGAAATCTGATTAATGGAACAAATGATTGATCAATCAAAGTTATATAACTTTTAAAATGCAAGTTACGTCACTAAAGTAATAAAAAAAGAATTTTTATCTTGATAAAGTGGTCAGTGATCAATCTAAACTTAAGAATTACATTAAAACTTTTCTTTTAGACGTGGACTTTGTATGGCTATGCATTGTGTCTAAGTAACAAATAAATCAAAAACAAAGACTGACATCTTTACTTATAAACATACTTTAAACCATTATAACTACAAATCTTTTATACTCGAACTCAATTTCGTAATTTGAAATAAGTTTATAAAGCATTATTGACAGACCATACGGTTAATATTAATTTCAAATTTAACTTTAAAAAAGAAAAACGACAAACAAAAGGGAACAAAACATTTTGAGATGAATAAAATCGATCTACCTATATTACCTTTACCCAGAGGCACTACATCAGGATTTTTATCGTCAGGCTGAACCGGAGAATGGTTGGTGCTTTGTATCGCGCCTTTGTACGCCTTCACCGTCTGCATAGGAGCTAAAATAAAGTAAAATAAATTATAGTATATACATCGCACGTCCAAAGGTGAACTGTGAACGTGAAATAGGTTTAAAAATATTGAAATCGACGTGCACATCAATCATTCTTTAATGGCATGAAGACTGCTTTGTGAAGGGTATAGTTTGCACCGTCTTTGTTGACGGCGAGGTCGGCCAGAGGGCGTAGAGTCAAACGGGTAGTTCGACACCGAGTGCATCGAGTAGATTACAAGTCCATCAACGAAGCCGTGAATCTTTTGACGTGCTCGTATTGGATGCATTGACTGGATGCCCGTACAGATGTATCTGTTAGTCCACTGATCATTATCATGCATCAACATAATTAATCCGCGAATATTCATCTATACCCATTAAAAAGTACCCACTTATCTTCATGTACTTTTAGTGAAGTGAATAAACAAAAGCTTAATCGATATCGATGATTTCAGTGTCGATATAACGATATGATTGTCTGGCACGACATTTAGAACTCAGGTCCTAAATTCACCTGGCACTAGGCTGGCACAACGAATGTTTTTCTCGATATAGGTAAATGTTTTTATTGCACCATATTTCTAAAAGGCTATTATTTCTGTGAAAACGTTTGTTGCTTACAAAGTTTTCGAACATAACTTTTCATGCTCGCGAATTCTAACAATAGCAGTTTTTTATACTAAATCTTAATAGCTAAAGGCAAGGAAAAGAATAAATCATTCTGATTATTACAAAAGTAGGTTGTGGAAATCGAATGCTAATAAGTACCTTTTCAATACGTATCGATTTATGAGAACGCTATTTATGAAAGTGGAACAGTTTTCTGAGAGCATGCCCTACAAAGCATTAAGGTACTATAGTAGTAAATATAGGTAGGAATATCTTAGCTACAGAACGTGAGTTAGTGATTTCGGCAAATCAGAATAATGAGTATAATTATGTTCATTATATCAAATACGTTGAGAATGTCAAATATACTCATGATAAACGTTATGAAAATTATATGAGACGTCACGTCAAGTCTGTTATTTACCGTCACAGGCTTGTCTCATGTTTGTCTCCATTAATATTATTACTGCGGGCCGAATGAAGTGGTTGCATGACATTCTAACCATCTTAGAACGAGCTATGTCTGTTCGTCACTGTTCCTCTGTTGACGGAGCGGTTAGAATATTTGTTCACATAACACGTGGCTCCCGCTCCACTGTTGGCATAGTCAAGGTTGCCATTCTACGCGTGTTTGTATAGGGAATATGCTGAGTTTATGCTCTGAAGTAGTTGTCGGCGTTTCAATTTTCGGATGATAGGATATTCTAGGAAAATGTTGGGTGCCGTCTTGTGTTATAAAGTTAAGGTTATAAACTGATTATAGGCTTTAGGGGTGCTAGTCTCAACCCTTTCTGTCTTGTGGTTAGAATGTATTACTGATATAAACGATAAAAAGCAAGAACTCAATAAAAAATCGAAAGCAACAAATAAAATATTCCACAAGTTAATAAACCAACCAATCTCATTACTGGGAATCGTAAACATTACTCGTAAAACATTCATTTCACAAATATCACGTAAAAGTATCATTACGTGGCACAAGCAGTCAAATGTCTGAAAGACAATTTATTTAATAATATAGAAAGTTAATAAAGATGTCGTCGCCGTCCATCGGCAGACGGAACATCTGCAATTTCATTCCAAATGCAAAAGGACATAAATCACATTTCAAATGCAGTGAAGCCCACAGCCGGGCCGTCCGAGGCGTTCAAAAATTCCAGTCACGCGACAGAATCCACCGCTATTCGCCAGTAAACCTGCCCAGCGAAGCAATTTCGATTTATTTGTGGTCGAAGGTACGAACCTCTATATTGCTTTTATATTACCCTGAAAATAATTACCTATCCGAGACATCGATAATAAAAAGGCATTAGGCACGTCACTAAAACATAAACCGTTACCGCTAAACAAAATTAACGATTTCACTTTCAAATTACAAATTTCAAGTTTGAAAATGTATTATTTGAAGGTGTTATGTATTAAATTATTGTTACATTACGTGAGAATGGCGGAGGAAAATTACTTTGCCACTATCTGGCGACAATTTCGCCGTAAAATTCAAACTTGTGTCGTTTATATTCTAAGTTATAGGCATTGCACACGCCAACGGTCTGTTAAATACTATTATTTGTCGGATTCATAGCATCTATCAAAATTGGACACGCTACAATCATGTACACATAAATGATTCATCGACCTCTGTCAATTTGAGCAATCATACTTTATACGATATATTTTTTATGCTTCGTTGCATTCCAATTTTCAGTATGGGTATCAGGGGAGCCTTCGTATTTATTTTCTTGTTATGTTTTCTCAATACATGCGTATGTATTACTTTTACATACCTATACGTACAACGTTCCTCGGGGGGCCAAACGCCTCCTGCCGGAGGTTATACGCCGGGGTCGTGCGGTCCATGGCCCTCTACGGCGCCCCTGTTTGGGCGCCGAACTTGTTGCGGCGTCCTGCTCGGACGCTGCTCATGTCACAGAGGGTCATGGCGATCCGAATGATCCGCGGATACCGCACGATCTCTGGGGAGTCGGCGAACCTCCTTGCCGGATTACCGCCGTGGGATCTGGAGGCGAAGGTGCTCGCGCGCGTGTATAACATGCGCGCGGAGGCACGTCGCCGGGGCGAAACTCCGCTGCCGCGCCAAATAAGTGCGTGGCGGGATGAGCTCCGGCGCGATCTCATGGCGGAATGGCAGCAACGACTGTCGCAACCGGGGGCTGGGCTCGCTGCCATTGCAGCGGTAAGTCCCCTCTTTGAGGAGTGGCTTGAGAGACGCTACGGCGTCCTCACCTACCGCCTGACGCAGGTCCTCACCGGACATGGAAGTTTCGGGAGGTACCTGTGTCTGATGGGGCGGGAGGAAACGGGGTGTCATCACTGCGAGGACCGCCCTGAGGACACGGTGGAACACACAGTGGGAGAATGCCCTGCGTGGGCTGAGCACCGCCGTGCCCTCAGGGAAGTGATCGGCGATGGCGACCTCTCGCGTCCGGGCCTAGTGCAGGCCATGATGCGGAGCGAGGGGGATTGGGATGCCGTCTCCTCCTTTTGCGAAGCAGTCATGCTAGCTAAGGAGGAGGCGGGACGCGTGAGGCAGCGAAGCGCTGCCTCCTCGCAACCCAGCCATCGCGAAGGACACACCGGGCGTCGGGGATCGCGAGACGATCTCCGGCCACCGTAAGCGCGGGCCTGCGGACGGCGAGCATGGGTGGCTCCCCGTCCGACCAGAAACAGACCCGAGCGTACGGCGCGTCGCGTTCCGCGCGCGCCTCAAAGAGCCATCAGACCACCACAGATGGGGCCCAATAGGGCCGATGCCGATTCGGAGTCGCGGAGAACCTAACGGGTAACCGGGGCTCCGGCTCGACGTGCAGGAGAAGGAACGGGGTGGTTTTTAGTCAGTAAGAGTCTGACACTCCCTTCCGCCTCACCCAGGCGGGAGCAGTCATTCGATGATTTTCCCCCCTTAAAAAAAAAAAAAAAAAAATACGTACAACGTTGTCAGGTTTAGACAACCCTAGCCAACGTTTTAAGATCCAATACCTGTGTCTACAGAATATCGGGTGTGTATTTTTTGAAACAAATATTTTTTACCGTTGCAAACAATCGTTCATTTTATGACAACTTGAGTCTTTGTATTTTATTTTTAAATCCCATTAACGACAGATTCCTCAAGAAGATGACAAGAATACAAAAATGTTCGCTTTCCCGTATATATAAGCGGTCAATAACAAAAAAGTAAAAGATCCTTACCTTCATACTGCATGGGTTGATGCTGTCTTCTCCTAGCCAGAAGAGCAATCACTACAATCACCACAAGAGTCCCAGCAATGCCGGCGATTACTCCCAGTGCCCAACTAGCATCAACACCAACTGCTTTGCCAGATTTCGCTTCTGTTGGGCAAAGATAATATGACAATTATTATCTTGTCTGTAGAATTATTATTTCAGGTTAGTTTGAAAGTATCACGTTCATGATGACAAAATATTTTTTTCGCTTGTACCAATTTATTTTAAAAACAATTATGTTTACGAAACTATAGAATAATAAAGTAAAATTAATATTGTATTCTTGATTATTATCATTGGCTACGAAAACACAACCAAAAATATAATATTTTTTTAAATTTTATGTGTAGATCAAAGTTTAGCATCGTTTGACAGCTACAATAATGAATGGACGAACAAATGAAGAATGATTTGTGCGCTACAATATTTTTAACAATAATTTATTTTTATTTTTTACTGATGATAAATGATGTAAGTCGGCCATTTTGCTTTTTTCAATTTTACACGTCAATAACTGATTAACTTTGAAACAGTTAAGCCTTAATTTTAATCTATCAACAGGCCACAACTATGTATAATTTAAAATTACAAAATAGCAAGGTAGAATTACTAAATAGACTTATTCTATTAACTTTACAACTGAGTTAAAGTTTTAAAATATCAAAGTTTAAATTTACGTCTACCAATTAGCCTCGTCGTCAATCCAATTTGACGGCAGTTAGAATTAGAATATAACAAAAAGCTAGAACTAACCTAATTTAGTATTCAACACGAACACAAAGCAAGATTTCACTTTTGATTATTTAATTAGCTAACGATACTACTACTGACATTGTAATAAGATTGAAATGTTTAAATTTTCTAGGTATTTTTTTTATCATCCAATGACTTGATTTCCTTCGTTCGGCACGAATGGACAGTCTCGACAGGTGTGGTACCACGGCCTCACAGAAAACCGACGTGAAACAACGCGTGCGTTGTGTTTCCTCGTATGATTGAGGTTACCGGCGGCCCAATTACCAACACCTCCTCCTCTTCCTCAATCCCTGAATCCCTAACAATCGTCAAATTCCTAATCCTCAAAACGCCTGTAACGCAGTTGTAACGACTCTGGTGTTCCGTGGGTTCATGGGCGACGCCGGTTGCTTACCATCAGGTGATTCGTCTAGCCGTTTACCTGCCTATCCCACAAAAAATACAGTTACATCAAAATTAGATAAATTCAATTGTTATAACAATTTGTAAACTTACCAGTATGCAAAGCAAGTCTCGCCAGGGTATTGATCCTCATCATGACAGTCTCTGACCTTCCCCTGGCGTTGGCAGCGAAGAACACGAGTCTTAAGCTCTTCCCTGATCCGAGACCTCGGAGTATCCACGCCGGTTGTGCGGTCGAAACATTTGCTACTAATATCTTTGATTCCCATACTTCCACGAAATACGATGTTTGAAGACCACCATCATAACCTGTAAAAGAATCTTTTTTTTTAACTTTTTCAAACCATTTATATCAACTAAACCATACACAGGTACTTTTGAAACGTCAACAAATAAAGAATAGTCTTTTAGTCTGTCCATCACAATAGCTTAACTCGTCGAGTACCGGTTTTATAGACACAATTAAAGAACAATAGGTCGCGGTCACCGGTGACCGCTTGGTGTTTGACAGACTAATTTAGAATTTTATAATAAATTTTGCTGAAAAGTGCTACATGTAATTTACAAAGAACTAATACATTGTCAATAAACCCCGCTGTTATTATAAACTACATTGTTTCATAGTAAAATCAACATCGTAATTTTTTAAATGAAATAGTGTCTATTTTATTATATTTTTGAGTAGAATTCTGCGTAAAGGATTAGTGGGAATGGAAAAAATGGTTTATGTGCATTGTGTATTGTTTGAAATGCAATTCGAGTGATATTGGTTAGTTAATTACTTTTATTTGAAAGTGTAATCCGCTTTCATATTTTGCTATTTTTTGTACCAAAATTCGAACAAATATTGAATATGAAGACTACATTTTTTAAGCTAAGCTGATGACGACAGTGAAGTTTAGTATATTATTATACTAAAAATCCAATATTGGATCAGTTATTAGCAAAAAAAATAAAATAATAACATTTCCTATAATTCCAATTACATGAAACTTTCTCTAGATAGGTTTTCGAATTTCATCAAGCCTCAACTCTCTGTTAGCAATCTTTTTGTTCGTTTTATGTGTCCAACAAAATCCAGAAAATAAAAACAATGAGGTCGTTATTTCATTATTACGTTTGTAAAGAAAATCGTAACGAAGTCACAACAAGGTTGGGGATGAAAAGAAAATAACTTGGACGTATTTTTTGGCTCAGGTGATTGGAATAACTTGATTTCCTCGTCCATTAAATGTTTGAAAGAAAAGAAATCTAGGAAGATTTAAAATAAAAGTTGCAGTACTTTTAATCTGTTAATTGATTTTTGAAATGATCTTTGTGTGGTTGTGATGTATGGAGAAGGTATTTTTTTTGTTTTGTTTATTGAAAGTTCAAGAGTTTGGTTGATTCTATTTCTAACATTGCGTGCACTATAGATATAGTTAGGTTTTATCCTTTCTCAAAGTGTTTCAAAGAAGAATCCGTACAATTTTCAGTAATCTTTAACTCTTCTAATCTTAAACTGTTAGTGGGTTAACAAAATCAATTTGTTTCATAGAAAAGTAGAAATAAAAGAGTAGAGTATTGGTATCAAAAATCAATCCTTGGCATAATCAGTCCTCCGAACTTTTTGCTATAAAATGCTCAATACATTTGAAATGTCTGTACTTACCAGCAACACATCTAATTTCTGCTGAATCATCAGTGAGGTTCACAGCAGAACAGTTGGCTAATGGATCTGGTCTGACTGCTGGCAGCAAGGAGTATCGGCATGGTTCCACCTGCTGACCTGCAAGGTTGGTAGCTCTGCAGGCCAAGGACCCGTAATCCTTCTCTGACGATGGTGTGTAGAAGAGAACTGATCTTCCAACTCCATTTAAGATGTATTTTTCCTGTGTGACAAAATGAAACAATATGATAATAATTGCTTTTTAAACTTCAACTCCCTCCTTTTTCCAAGTCAGTTAATTATACTAGAACCTTCTTCTCCGCGTCAAAATCCGTTCAGCCAATTGTGAGATAATCGCAACATACATACCTACATACAGGTCAAATTAAGAAGTCGGTTAATAAATATTAGTCATTTTATACTTGGGTAAACAAATGATTCGTCATTTATTGTTGTATTTTGAAACTTTTTAATGTTATAATGAAACTCATATTTTGTCATGGCAAAAATCTAATTACACACATTACATAATTCGTTCTGTTTGTAAAAATGACAACAACGCAACCATATACTAAAAAAGCAATACAATTATTTATAAAAATGTAAATGTAATAAAAATGGCGTCCAAATCGAAATTATAAGTTGGTGGCACATGAATTTGTTTAACTCCCATGGGGTCACTTATGGCCCGTTCTGTAATCCCGCAAAAAAGGCGAGAGTCGTCGAATTGTTGGGAAAAAAATATATTCATAAAACAAAGGATTATTCATGACGAGCGCTGTTCGCATGTCCATAAAAGAGAATGACAAGCCTCTTGTATGTATGTATGTGTTTATAAAAGGGATACTTGTAACGACATAACAGGGGAATAAATATTGTTTTGTATCAACCGAAGTTTAACTATGTATATTGATAGATTTTTGCAATGTTTTGTAATACTTGGTATAGCCTTGAGCACATTTTCTTTGTTATAAATAACTATGTTTATTTTTTTCTTTTTAAACGTTGCCCCACACTAGGATTTTCATTTATGTCGTGAGTGCGATTACAAACATACTAGTTCACATACACCCAGACACAATTTGTGTATCACACAAAGAGTTGTTCCGTGCGGGCGTCGAACTCGCTGCACGTTGCGCGGCAGCCGGTTGCCAGCCATCGCACCAACAGAATTTGCACCCTACGATCATACCTCATTTCAAAAAAAATATTCATGACTGGCTAGAAATATCAAGATGTTGGTTTTCAAAATAAAACAAGTTCAAGCTCATTGAATACATGCACTTCATTAAGGAACACTCCGGGACTAAGTCAACACTAAACTAACCCCACTATTATTACAAACGGACCAAGTTCTCACATTACAATTCCGTTTCAGAGTCAAAACTCCAACTATAAAACGTTTACATAATTTTCAGCAACGAAACATGAATTATTCCGTTTTAGTCGCACAATGCATTTATGTTCGTAAAGTTTTGTACTCACAGGTTCAATTTCCGAAGTTCCCATGGAATTATTGAGGGTCCACTGGAAGTTCTTGGGAGGAGGGAAGGCGTCCACTTCGCACGTTACTTTGGTCGGTTCATTGATCGCGGCACCCACTATGGCTGTTGACGTTGCTAGACACACCGGCTTATCTGTGAAAGAATGAACTTTGTTATTTTGTTATAGGGTTGAGATTTAATTAAATTGGTTGCAAGTTTGTGATGTCGTTTTGTGTCTTGTAAGTTGTCGTTTTGTATGTTGATGTTGTTGACATATTTGTTCAAATGCGTTCTGTATGTATGCGTGAGGTTCTGTATGTGATCTTAAAGTTAATCGGTCTAATTAGGTTTTCTGCTTAACACATACATACATACTATGAAAAGTACTGCACTAGTAATAATGAAACTATTGGAAACGAATGTCAGTAACAAATGACTTGACTTTGACTTTGAAGCAGGCGAGAAAAAATACTTCTATTTTATGTTAACTACAATCATATTTATAAAACGCAAAAATAAATTTGATACAAACTAATTCACAATCAATCACACACACTGATACCTATAGCCAACCAGAGCCACTCAATCATTCAATTTAGCCACTAGTTGCAGGTGACTAATATATGCACTCGATCACATTTAGGTCCCAGTAAGGGCGAGGCTTCATTTGTCCTTTGCTCTGCGTTGCGTTATCGTGTATATATTTTTATGGCATGCGTCATTAGACCATCGTGTCGTCGCACGCTGCATTTCAATAGATGGACAGACAAGATACTAAGAGAGGTAGGATATGCTATATCGACGGACAGCCATTACGTTTGTATCTAACACGCACCTACAACGCCGTGCGTCGTCACAACCCTGGTGGAACCTACAATGCGTTGTTCCGTTGTGACGCCACGACGCAATGCAGCGCAACGGACATATGGGACCTCCCGCTAATCTAGTATCTACCGATCAGACCCTATCACCGGCCTATCAGTCATTCTAAGTCATTTCTCACAGTTAGACCTGACGGTTGATTTTTGGTCAACTAAACACGAGTAGCCATTTGATTGATGGTCTAAAATGTGAAAAGTTTAATTGGGTTTCGCGTAAATTGTAATATTTTTCGATTGATCGGTTTTGAAAAAGTTGTTGTTTTTTTTTGTGTCCATCCCCTTTCTCTGTGAAAGGTACGAATGCATTTTTGTTTTGTTTATTTTTTACACTTGTATTGTTCTGATAAAAAATATCGTCGACCTGCAATGAATTGGAGTGGTTATATTTTTTTTTATTAAATCATAATTTTTGGCTCTACTTAGTATAGATTTTTATTATATATAGTAGGCTACGCGACATCGCCGCGACCGTGCACGCTGCTCATGAGGAAGAGCCCCTCTGTGGTTCGAAACTAGTAGAGCTTTTCTCAGTATATTCACGTGAGTAACCCGCGATTTTTAGTTAATTTAGTATGTCTCACGATAGTTATTATAAAAACATAGATTTTTATTCTTAACACAATAGTTTTCCATAAAACCCTCACGATATAATGAATATTCAGAAAACCATAATCAATTAACTACAAACTAAAACTGTCACTTCACCTTCATCCATAGATTGATTAAATAAAAACTGCCTAATTATCTAAATGAAACAGACTAACCCGGGTTCACCCTATTACTTTGAAGGCAAACGAACAAACAAACAAAAAAGATACTTCGAATTTATTTTCCGGCAGAGACAGGCCAGTCAGAGTTTGAGTTCCAAACTAAATACCAAAAGCCGGCAACGTTTTTATTTTTGTTTAAAATATAGTCGTTATGGGATCAACCAACATTTTCTATTTTCGGTACGAAGTTTTCAATCTGTTTTTGACTGGACGACTAGTTGGTATCTACTATTTTTTATATTGTTTTGTTTTGAGATTAATCAGTCTGGTTTTCTGATTGTTTGTACGTCTAAATTAGTGTTGATTGTTTAGTGTTGTGTAGTTTTTGTTTCATTTAATGTTCAATTTTACCAATTGGGTGTTAAATAAGAGGTTGAGCTTGGGATTTTTTTTTCATTATGACATGGAGGTCGTAGGTCCTGGGAGGCTTATGTTCAGTAGCGACTTATGGCTGATGTGTCGATGGTGATGATTAATTTTATCTGTTTTATTAAAATAATTGATGACAAATTGGCAGAAAATATTTATATATATATATAATAATATAATATTTAATAATCGGAAATATAATTTGTTATGTCTTCAGAAATACAACTTCGTTACCTACTTCTAAAATTCAATGCCGATTCATTTGTTCTCTAAAACTATGGATAAATTCTTCATTTAGGTAATTATTTAAAAGCCAAAAATATCTTCGTTCGTGACCTCAGCCTTAATTTTGTAAATTCAATAATTTAAGTTCTACAACTCGAAATGGTTCATTTTGTAAATAATGACACTAAATAAGCAGTTTGAAAGAGAAATTACTATTTAAACTCTTTAATAGAGTGACGTTGATAATTATCTACGTCACACTGTTTAATAGTATGTTTGGCATTAAATTAGACCAGAATTATTAAACAAATTTTGCTGCAATTTTGCTAACAGGTTAACCAATTTGTTGTGGTGGTCCGGAGGTTTAAGAGGCCCGCTTCTCATATGTGAGAGTGAGGGTTCGAAACCTACCAACAACAAGTTCCAATGTGAGTTTTTCAAGTTATATATATACATTCTAAGATTATTTAGAGATCACTGACGGGTGGAGAAAAATTTTGTGAGGGATCCTGAATTTTAAGTTTGAAATCGCCAATCTGTATTAAGAGAATAATGCTCAAACCGTCCGTGTGAGAATAAGCCTTTCAGGTCAGCAGTGACCACTTATAGGCTGTTACAATGCGATGTGTAACAAATTTACACATTTATCATAATAAACGTAAAATAAATAGTTAAGGAGGTTATTTTATAACGCATTGTTTCATCATTCGTTCAGTGGTCCTTTGTTGGACATAGACTTCTCTAATGGAATGCAATGGTTTAATATCTCGTAGCTAATCCATATTAGCTCTTAACCTCCATAGGTTAAGAACAAAATGCCTTGCAAAAATATCACTAATATCATAAATGCGTCGTCGAAATGGCTGAAGTGATTCGGGTGAAATTAGGAACAGAGATAGATTATGATCTAAATTTACACTTATGTTACTTTTATCCATTGGAAATGCGAGTGAAGCCGTTGGTAAAGCGTCATAGTGTTCAAAGATTTCAACGCAACTCCTTTCACTGTGAACTACCCTTTATCAGGTTTAATGGACAGGAAAATACAATAACAGCTTCGATTCGCCCAATGGAACATTTGTAGTGTTCTATAGAGTTCAGAATCCGTTTGAATCATAAACAGGGGCCTACAAAGCTTTGCATATAAAATCAAATCAATCCGACGTTATTCAATGAATTTGCAAGTTATGCTTCACACTTTAGGTGCAAATTGAATTGGCTTTGCCGATGGTGTGTGAAGTAACATGGCGGATTGATATATTACATGTTACAATGCAAATTTAGTGCGGTGTTGATAAATTAAGATGGCCATTTGTTATTTGTGTCGACTGTAATTGTCTGACTGCTAAATGATTAAAGATTTTAAGTTAAATTAAAATAGTAGTTAGTGGAAATAACACTATATTTATCTTACTCCACGATACATACTGTTGGCTGTTGTAGGCTTCCATCAACTTGGACTAGGTACTATAATTTATCGAAGGACACAAAAAAAAAATTAAACTTATAGAAGAAAGGAAAGTAATATCCAGAGATCTTTTGTTCAAACGAACTCGAAAACAAAAAGGCTCTTTAATTAAATCGATTCAAAACTCCATTCAGGTCACTGTCGTACGTATTTGTTTTAGCACTGAGACATAAAATTTTAATAAAATCGAAACTCAAAAGCAACACCCACCTTTAGCGAAGATCTTGATATAAAATGCATATCATGTGCTTACAAAATCCAGATATCATTCAGGCAGAAACATAACTTCATAACTTTTTATTTTGTAATCGACGTTTTTTTTAAGGGGAGAAAATCATCGAATGACTGGGTGAGGCGAGAGGGAGTGTCAGACTCTTACTGACTAAAAACCACCCCATTCTTTCTCCTGCGCTTCGAGCCGGAGCCCCGGTAACCTGTTAGGTTCTCCGCAACGCCGAATCGGCATCAGCCCTATGGGGCCCCATCCGTGGTGGTCTGATGGCTCTTTGAGGCGCGCGCAGAACGCGACGCGCCATACGCTCGGGTCTGTTTCTGGTCGGACGGGGAGTCACCCATGCTCGCCGTCCGCAGCCCCGCGCTTACGGTGGCCGGAGATCGTATTTTGTAATCGACTAAGCGGCCTGATTAGCAGGACTTTCCATCATCTAGTGTAAAACGGGATAACAGAATTTATAGAATATAATGTCATTGTAATCCCAAGAATCTAATTTCTTTTTATCAGGATCCAAGCATCTCATACTACACACACCGGCAAAGTTAGGGGAACACAAAAAAAAGACAGTTCTTTTTTAATTATTAGCTTTTTATGAATGTTTTTTTCGATTAATTTGGGTTTGGGTATTCAAAATAAATATGACGCAAAAGGAATTAGGGTTGAACATTATTTATTTACAGATACTTACAAAAAAATAGGAAATTTAAGTCCTTTACATTTTATTCAATATTTTTTTAAATTTTAATTTTCATATTTTTTTTTATAAATTACCTAATTAATACCTCGTATTGCCACCGCGGGCTCTAATTAGGGCTTGAATACGTCTGCTCATGCTTCTAATGACACTGTCAATCATTTCTTGGGGTAAATTGGCCCACTCTTCAATTAACGCCAATTTTAATTCCTCAACATTCCTAGGAGGTGGAATTCTCTCCCGCACTTTGCGTCCAATCATGTCCCAGACATGCTCTATCGGGTTCATGTCTGGAGATCGTGCTGGCCAGTCCATTTGGGTAATTCCAATTGCATTTAAGTAATCGCGAACCACGCGAGCAGTGTGCGGCCTTGCGTTATCGTGCATAAACACAAAATCTGGCCCTATAAATGGGGCAAAAGGCATTACATGGGGTTCTAGGATCTCTGTTATGTACCTGTGTGCAGTCAGGGAGCCGCCTTCAATAATGACCAACGCGGTGCGGGCTGTTGAAGTAATGCCACCCCACACCATAACGGACCCTCCACCATATGACACCGTTTCGGTAAAATTGGCTTGGTGGTACCGTTCTCCTCGATACCTCCACATCCTTTCCCTCCCGTCGATGAAATTTACACAAAATCGGCTTTCGTCCGAGAATAAAACATGACCCCATTCATCGGACCAATCTTGGTGCTGACGAGCGAACGCTAATCTTGCAACTCGATGACTTACCTCAAGTTTAGGCGCTTTTGCTGGCACGTATGACTTTAAACCAACTTCGTTTAACCTTCTTCTTACTGTTCGTTCACTAACTCGCACGTTACGCACTTCTTCTAAAAGGTTTCGGGTCTGCACAGCTGTTTGACGACGGTTTCTCAACGTTTGCACCCTTATGAAACGATCATCTACGGCACTGGTTGCACGCTTTCTGCCTTGTCCCCGCCTCCGTACGTAAGATCCCGTCTGTCTGTATCGTTTGACACAACGGTGGATCACAGATACTGATACACCCAACGTTCGACTCACTGAACGGTATGTGTGCCCTTCCTCGATCATTGTCACAGCTTTGGCAACTTCAGTTGCTGGTAAATCACTCATTTTGTATGCAATACAATGTTAACTCTTCAAACAATAACAACAAAATAAGCTAGGGCCTCTATTGACTGCTCCAACAAAATCCTTATCAAAAACACTTAAAAGCGCTGACACTCAATAAACACTTGAGAGCGTATAATTTATGCTAGATTGTTGAAAAATGTCAAAATATCTCAAAATATTGTGTTGTACGAAGGTAATTTCATAAATAAATGAAACACTTGACAAATCATTCACGAGTTCCAAAAAAAATGGCCCTTTTTTTTGTGTTCCCCTAATTTTGCCGGTGTGTGTATTATTTGTTAATTCCATAACAGTTGCACAAACACCTATCATCGAGCCATAACGATAATCAAACCATAATATATTGAAAAATAAACTAGTCAATTCAAGTTATGTATGTAAAAGAATGCAAAAATCGTTTTTTAAACATGCGAATAAAAATCAACGCTTAATTCATGACTGTCAATATCTGAAACATAAATGGAATGGGTCTTCCGTGATATATTGCTGACTGTTGCCAATAAACTGCGTATCATTGATTGCCAAATGTAATACACACATATTTATTGCTATGCATTAAGAATAACACACAATATATGATCAATAACTCGTGTTCAAGCCCACGGGATTTATTTTTGAGAGCTGTATTCATTGTGATTTAAAAAGTTATAGATATTATTTTTTTTGTTGCAAGAATTTTATGGTATTTATTGCAATTGGTTTTAAATAAATAATGATAGTGTTGTTCTGGCGATGTGCAGGAAAAAAATAATTATTAGGTTTTCGGCTTACTCACGTAATTATTTGACGAGGAACTCAGCATTTCGCGACCTGCGATGAAATGCTGCTCATGAATATGAGCCTCTAGCATGGCTTGAAACTAGTCGAGTTCAATAATTATGTGAGTAAGCCGAAAACATAATAATTTATTTAGTATGTCTCACGAAAGTTATAATACAAAAAAAAAGAATGTTTGTATTTTAGGAGTGTTTAACTGTAAAAGTGATGAACTGCCAGCGATGCCATTTATTGTTTTTGAAAGGAAAACTCGTTGTCGTAGGTCAGTACTGCACCACAGTAAAAATAACGCTTCGTTATGGAATTTGATGTACCTAACAAAACAACATGGCGTTTTACATGGAAACGTAAATTACCAAATAAAAAAAAAATAAACTTGTTCGGAAAAATGCCACTATTCCATTCCCAAAACCTCTTATTACACTATGTTATTGTATTTCAATATTTTCATACAATATTTCAATATTTACGCTCAATCTAGTTTGAAGAGGGTCATATTTTTCATAGGCTGTCGCTTCGCTGTCATGTCTACAGGTATGCCGTTCTTTAGGCGGGGCAAAGGGGTCATCCTATTGACACTCGAGGCAATGATGACGGGTGAACAGCTCTACAGGTGGTTTACAATAATGACAAACCATTTTTGGTTCTCGCCCCTTTTTAGTGAGCATTTGAGGGCAATGATTCGCGAAATTTGACGCAACAATGGGCGATTTAGGATATCGTTGCCGCCTAAATAAAAGTGTGTACGAATAATTTTTCGTTTAAGGAAATATGAACATTATACATACGTAATTTGAAGTTCTATGTTTGTTTGAATATTATATTATAGATATTTAAGCATGTGTGAACAGGAGAACTTATCACACAACATTTTTTCCCAAAAAACATTATAGGTACAAAAGTTTTTAGTACTGAAATAGTCTACAAAGTTATTTCTGACTTATAACTTAAAATAAAAACGTAATTATAGCGAAGAAATGTAATTTATGAGCTACAAAAAGGTATGAAAATGAAAATATCATTGTGGAAAGGTCAGACCAATCATTCATTGTTAAGAAATAACGTAGGTTCGAAATATTCAAGTAAGAAACGAATTCAATGTATCAATTTTCCTATTAGAAGTAGTTAAAGTGCGTAAAAATAAATCTAAGAGGTGACATTCAAAACATGTTATGTTTTTAACAGCATACAAGTGGTCACTACTGTCCAAAGGCCTCTTAAAGTCAAAGCATTTATTTCAATTACTCCTTGAAAGCACTTTTGAAACGTCAAATCGAATTGTTAGTGAAGCTAGGTGCTCGTTCCAACGTATATTTCGAATGGAGAAAAACCAGCAAGAAACTTTATCGTCACTCTTTTCCAAATTATTTTATTTATAGTCTCACAAATACTTTATATGACCATTACCTCTTGTATATAATATAATCACGTGAAAACAATGCAACTACAATACAGTGACAAACTTAAAAAAACTCTAAAGACGACCGTCTCAAACATGGTGCCTACGTAGAGAAGGTTTGAGCATTATTACCACGCTTGCTCAATGCGGGATTCAAACTTATAATTAGAAATTATATTTTATTATTAACTTATAAATATAAACTTATAATTAATAATAATAAGAAATTATAAGTCCAGGTTACCTCACAATGTTTTCCTTTACCATTTGTCAGTGATGTCTTAATAATCAAAGTGATACCTAGGGAAAAGTCACATTGGTACTAAAGGTAGGTTTTGAATCCACACCCATCATGAATGAGAAGCGGGCGTCTTACAAAATCATCACCCTTTATTCTCAATATCATAAATTAATTAACCTTACTAATTTATCCAATCGCTTAATCAAAATTTATCCCTACGCCACAAACAACCTTACCCAATACAAATAAGATTGAAAATTAATCAACACGGTATTTGTCAAATATTTAACCGTTTCACCGCTAGTGTGTGTGTAACTATGTTATGAATGTTAAAAATTTAATCAATGGGTGTGACTGGACCATGTCGTTGTGGTCTGTGGTTAAACGCGTACGTACGTACGTGGTTAAAACTATTTATTAACAAAGTGGATTGGGCGGTGATGTATGTCTGTGTCTGATATTTGAATTCGATTTAATCCTAGTATTTCATTGTAGTTCAATTTTAAACGGGATGATTCTATTACGGTGCCATTAGAACGATAATATTATAATGTTATGTTAATTATTGTAAGTCAGACTTTACTTAAAGATCAACATCAATACGGGAGTGAATGTGAGTTATATGTTAAGTGTGGGAGAGCCATGCTTCGACACGATTTGACCTGAGTGATACCACGAGCCTTACAAAAAACCGATGTGTAACAACACGTACCCCCCCCCCCCCCTCCAATCGTCTAATTCCTAATCCCCAAAGGCCGATAACGCATTTGTAACGCCTCTGGTATTTCAAGTGTCCATGGGCGGTGCCGATTGCCTACCATCGCAAATTAAAAGGCTCTGTCGTAAAAATTTGAAATCGAAATCAAAACCTATATTTCAACAAGATACATCTTTGCATTTCTAACTCTTTTTTTAAACACGTAGCCCACGCTCCTATATATTTTCTTGTGTAGTGTATTATACACATAACATTTTTAATAAAAATTTACATACACATCACACGGAGATTAAGAACAACAATTTGTAGAATGATCACACTTAACTATCCGTACCACATTCAGTATAAATTACAAAAAAATAATTTAAAAATTTAAATAACTTACAAATAACTTGTAGTTTGACAGGTTGAGACTTCCCATCTCCTTCTACATTGGATGCTGTGCAGGCGTAGTTCCCCGCCTGACTTCTATTTACTCCTTGCAGAGCTAAGTTGGCTGAACCAGCGATCACTCCAGCTCGTTGGTTATGTGTCATTATCTGACCCTGGAAAAATTGACTTGGTTAAAATACAATGATGCTTTTTATATTTTTTCACGTTATTTATTTATGTGCACACATACAACATAAAGGATAACACATACATAAAATTAAAGTACAAAGGTACCACTTATTCTTATTGGAATATCTTCCTGAGGACCTGGAGCAGCGTTATTTTAGGAACGAAACTGCTTTGTGCTTTAGATTGTGATTTTAATTAATTTATTTGGTTTGTTGATCGAAAGATCACGAGCACGATTGATGAGGGCTTTGCTGGTCAAAAAAAATCATTAGAAAACAAATAAATAGTCGGAGTCTGGAATCATGGCAGTTTTAGGACAATTGATTCTGCCTCTATTACATTGTAACGATTTCTTCACTTCAGGTTCGAAACAAACTTTAAAATACTACTTAATTCCTAAAGTTAACGCTAGTTACTATTTATATTATTGTACAAATTAAAAATATTAATATGAACTAAAACCAATTAAATATTAATTCATAAGCAAACTCGGGAGGCACAGTATGTTTAGCAGTTCACGACGCGATCGCGTGGAGGGATCGATAGGCGGAGCGCGCAGTAGAATTTTAACTGTGGAGAGCTAACTGGACGACACTGAGGTCGGACGTGCCGCATTACTTAAATATTATTTTCTTCTACCTACGTTTATTATATTGAGTCAAGATTATATATCTAGTACTTGCGCGGCTGTTAAAGTTTATAACAATTTATTATATCGTTTTCACCCCGAATCGGGTAAGTGTTGCAAAATTATATCTATTAAGTAAGGCTATCTCAGTAGAATTGTAAATCTGATAAATATGCGTAGGGCTCATTTTCTCATTAAACTACCTTGCTATAAATTAGTGCTTGTTCAATTAGTAGCTTATAGTGTCATATATTTTTATACTGGCTATCTTTCTGCTGCTTTTATGTACATTGACTGCCTCATCATTGATCACTATTTTATGTAATCTTTACCACCTGTGCCTCGTAGTATCACGCTGCTTTTGTAGGATGCACATAGGGGTGTGGCAGTCATGTAATATTGAGGATAGTGTTAAAGTAGAAGGTTTACACTATTCCAGGGTTCACCACTCCGGTGCCGGACTGAGCTGGTATTATTTGGACTACCCTACAACAAACCTTCCATCTACGCTACGACGACCACCGGACTACCCTTGTGGCCGACCACGCATTCGCCGATCTATCAGGGCAGTGGTATTGATTGATGGACTTTTCATGTGTTGGTCTTAGTGAATATTAAAGAACCCACTGTATTTCGCTTGTTCTTATATCTTTATATTTTATTATACCTTCCTATTATTATAGCAGCTGTTTTATTCATCTAACGAGGAAAAGTTGTTACAACATGGTGCTTCAAATATAACTCTTGATTGATAGTGGGTGTTACGTAATAATTGTAACACCAAAAGCAGTTTTGTAAAACTTTTGATAAGTTGCTAATTACTCAATTGAAGTTATTCATCCGATAAATATCTGTACTCATGTAAATTCGTAAATGAATTAAATCCCGAACTTAATAGCCAATGATATGTTAATTTATAACACATTATACAAGAGTGCAAAAGTTTTGGAAACTTTTAAAAGCCAGTATCATTAAAGTATGTAAGAAAATCAAAATTGTTACGTCGACGCGTATGTATGGAAACTTTTCGATACGATGTGAACTAAGTTTGTCTTGGGAACACGAAGAGGGAATCGGAAGTTTGTGACTAACAAACTTCATAACATATTAATTATCGTGTAATTTCTCTATAGATATTTTCTCTGATAATAAATTTCGTTAAGTATCAGTTTCACTTTTATTTCGTTTGTGAAACTTTTATAATAATTTGTATTTTGTTATGTTTATCGCTTTATATGTTTATGTGTGGACTAAAATTGAGTGATCGAGTGAAAAATAGTGTTATTAGAGAGAGGTGTGGATTGAAAGATGATGTAGTGACAAGGATTGAAAAGGGAAAGTTACGCTGGTTTGGACATGTAGAAACGATGTATGAAAGTAGAGTAACGAAAGAAGTATACAGAGCGGATATGAATGGGGCCGTCGGTAGAGGGCGCCCTAGACGGACATATAGTAACCAGATTGGCGATATATATTTTTTTTATACACTTTATAGTTCGACGTTTGACCACCATCTCGCGGTATCTCACCATATTAAAGAAGGGCCAAATTAAAAGTACCCTTAACCGACGAGCATGCATGAAAAGATTGATGACTGTTAATGAAGCGAAAGAGGTATGTAAGAATCGTAGTAATTGGCGTTCCTTAGTCTCTGCCTACCCCCATGGGAGACAGGCGTGAAGCTATGTATGTATGTATGTTTATCGCTATCCTGTTGTAAATTGACATGATAATAAAGCCTCTACAAATTGTACTCGACCAAACCTATTGTTTTTTACACAGTCTTACGGTAGAGAACCTGCATTGTCAAAAGCGTAACTTTCACTGTGCAATCAACTTGAGATTGTCCTGAATTCAAATCATGGACTAATCTTACAAATTACTGTAAAAATAGGTATAAAGGAATATAATGAACGAGTGGTCGCAAGTGCGACTACCGGGCGAGGGCTCTCGGGTTCAATTCCCGGGTCGGGCAAAGTATTACTGGGTTTTAAAAAAAAATCTCAGTAGTAGCACGGAGTCTGGAATTGTGCCCGGTATATGGCAATAGGCTCACCCCCTATTACATGGGACTCATAACATAATTAGTGAAAAGTGGTTGTTACTTCTATGTGCACCTCTGCCTACCCCTTCGGGGATAAAAGGCGTAATGCTATGTAATGACTTCGTCAATACTTTTATCTTATAACTTCGTTACAACATGAAAAATAACTATTCAATTACCAATATAATTCTCGAATACCTTCCAAATTACACTCGTATAAAGCAAAGACAAAGATCGGAATTCAATAAAGAGGTAGTGCGTGTAACCGCACATTCCACACGTCACAGGTGAACAGGTGACACAATATGATTGAGCCAATCAACGTCTGCGATTAAACACATTGTTGTTTTATTGCCGGATTCCCAGATTGGCACAAGTGTGTTATTATTTTTATTTAGTAGGTAATTGTGTTTTTATCCGAATAAAAGGCTTATTATTATTATTATTATTATTATTATTTAGGTAATTGTGTTATGTGTAAATAGTAACATCAAATGTGATGATGTGGAATATTAAAATTGGTAAGCTGATCGGATCTGAATGAAGCACGAAGTTAGATCGAAACTACAAATTATATTCTTCTAACTAAACATAAATAATAACATTGTTTCTTGCATATTTTTCCCTTAATCGACGAGCATGCATGAAAGGATTGGTGACTGTTGATGAAGCGAAAAAGGTACGTAGGAAACGTAGTAATTGGCGTTCCATAGTCTCTGCCTACCTCCATGAGAGACAGGCGTGAAGTTATGTATGTATGTACATATGTATGTATGTATGTATACTTTTCACAACATAACATAACGTCATGTTGCAAAGTAACCGTCAGTCAGTTTTTACCAATTAAGTCATGGCTCCTATTCCCAAGTCCACGTGGGACTAAGAAACCAAACCATAACCCCATGCTCGGCAGTCGTACTTGCGACCACTTAATTAACAAGGCAGTTCCACTGACTAAAATGACTTAAAATATGTTAGGTACTCACATTATGTTCCCACACAACTTTATAAGCTGGTGGGTTAGACCGCACCATGCACTCGAAGTACACGTCATCTCCTTCCTCGATGTCGTTAGGGTTCATTTTAGAACCAAGTTCCAATGTCACTATTGGGACATCTGTGGAAAAATGTGTTTTATTAACGTAGAAATTAGACATTATTTTACATGCGACATACTTGAATTTAAAATCATGGGAGTTCTTGGCAATACATAGATAGCTTAAAATTTGTTATAGAATAGACATAGAGAATAGTTATAGTCTTAGAAATGAAACTGAGTACTAGCCATAACGTTCTAAAATATATTTATACTATTTTGAGAGAATTTTGGACGATTTCTTATAGCAAAACAATTCATAAAAACATCACCAAATCAATGTAACGTATGAAGTAACTCTTTCAAACTAAAAATAAAAACAGCAAAATAAAAACCCAATGTTGCCATATTTATAAATTTTATAACATTAGCAGGTGTCGTTCCTCTTTTGAATTGACTGTTCAATAATTATTTCATTCTCTCAATTTCAAGCCTACGTTGAATACAGACTAAAAATAAAAACGTCAGGCGCAGGCTTTATTAGTTTTTGACAGGACTACCTGTACACAGGAAAGTTTTGGTTAGAGGAAAATGGTAACAGTAAACCAATTTCAAATAGAATAAATAATAGTTCCCTGTGTGTAGAAAATAATTAGTTTTATTAAACGTAGACGACTGTCAGTTAGCGTTGAATCGGAAAAATTGGTTCATATTTTGTTTTGTTATAAAAGTAAAGAGAACTGTCAAATGTTTGAGCACTATGTATACAGTTGTAGCTATTATAATTAATGGAATTTAAAACAGAATATTCTTTATACATAATAATTCATTCTATGTTCAATAGTAAATTATTTTTCATTTATCGTCGACGTGATCATAGAGGAACTAACTTATTGAAAATAGTAATCAGTGATTACCATCAGCCAAATTACTAAATTAAAAACCAGTTGCTTAATTATCTATCGAATAAATCCCACAACATAACTTCCACGCACTACCACATCTATACGTGATTATTTGAATGAACATCACATATCATACGTAACACACATATTTATTACTGTACCAGGAAAACATACTTACAATGTAAATTGAGTGTGATACTGGTCTCTATAGTCGTGTGCTCCAACTTGACATGGGCCGCTCGGCACGTCAGCGTTCGGCCATCTTGATCCATGCGAGGAGTCCACCGGAGAAACGATATCGTCTCGTTTTTGTCGTCAGAATTCTGTGTAAGACATTCATTGATGTATTTTGTCAGTTTGAGTTTGAGTGACGTAAAGAACTATGAATAAATGAAATTGTTTTCGTATTATCAGTATCGTGATACATAAATATTATATTAGGTAGGTTTTACACTTATTTACGTCACTGTTTGACGAGGTTATGTGGTTGCTGTAATACATGCTACTCATGAATGGCCCTGGGTAGTTTGAAACTGGTAGGAGTATCCTCGTCAAAATATTATCTAAAGGAGTGAACTGTATAACTTAATTAATTGAATAACGTAAAATTCAAATAGTAGTACTAAAGTTACATTAGTAATTTTCTCCGTTTACTTCAGCTATTGATATTATGTATGGTTTACCAATCTTAGATATTATTTTTGATCTATACTTCCTTTGCTTCTCACCTTCTGTATCGCCGCTACCGACATCTGCCTATCATCCATCCACCAGGTGATGATGGCAGGTGGTCGAGTTCCAACGGCCTTGCAGGCCAGCTCTGCTGCCTGGCCCACTGAGAGCGGCTGTTCCCGGGCCAGGATCTCCACAAATAGAGGTCGCACTGGATACAAAAAGGTAAAGGTTAGACTATAGATAGATAAATAATTCGTTGATTGAGTGATTCCATTTTGTTTATGTAGCTGCTAAGTAAGACGATCTGGGGTTCTCAGAGACGGTCTAACATCTCATAATTGGAATTATTGAATATTCAGGTTTTGGAATGTCTAAATTCTCAGAGTCAGTGAAAATACGTCATAAATGAGTCAATGTAACCTAGATTTAATTTTCAGATGATATTTTTAACTTCTAATAGAAACCACTAAACAAAATTGTAACTATTCTGATACTGTTGAGCTCATGTAATACTGTCTTATTATATATTAAGCAGAATGTCGATTGTATCAAAAGAAAACGGTAAAGATTGATCCATCGAAAGTAAAAGACAAGTACTTTCTTGTTAAACTAGTCTTACAAATATCATGAAACTCTGTAATTGGCTTAAGTGATAATTATAATCATTTCGTTATCACTGTGCAGCGTGTGTCGACGTCACTTTTCCAAGCTAGTATATATTCTTTCATGAAACTGAACTGCATAAGGTTGTGCATTGATAGTGTGAAGTGTATTCCCAATTCATGTAACTATATTAATAGGCTGTTGGGTTTCCAAATAAACAAAATAAAAAAAGTAAGACAGTAAAAAAGACAAGTAAAGTAAGCAACCAGTGACTTTATTCCTATTAATTAGGTTTTTAATTAGTTGTCTATGTAAAGAAGACAAGAACCTACTGACCCTGTACTCAATAGTAAGTTAGTAAGATCAATATTGTAATATGAAGCTTTAGATTAATTTAACTATCTGGGTCAAAATATTTATGCTGTAATATTAAATGAGATAATATTATGTTAGTAAAGTACCTACCAACTTAGTTTTTTTATATGTATGTCAAGGTTCTCAAAATAAGAAACACGATCGATATTATATCCATACTTACTTTCACGGAAACATTGTACAGAAAAATATCACCATTTCGCATTTCGGAATGATTTTGGAAAAAATCAAAGTGCCGTTAAAAATATTTTATACACAAAAAAATGACAGTGAAGTGACAAACGCGTACCCTTATCATCATTAGGGCAGCGTTTGTACGGACTTTTGTTGTATGACAGTCAGGCTAACCAGTTACTAAGTACGACTATTATAAAGCTCCCACGTTCACAATTTAAGTATTTGTGTAGAATGCCTTTGTGTAAAGACGTGAGTAAAGTTGTAAACGTTGTTATATTATTATCAAAATAGAGTGACTAAAACTCACTTGAGAATATTTTGAGAGGAAGATTACGATATTAGCCTAAGAATATATTGCAAATAAAATACTACACGCTCTGCAATTGCGTATACGATCATTCTATTAAACAGGACACAAAATAAATATAAAACCGAAAATATTGAAAATGGAATAGGTAACTAATGTTTCGAATAAAAAACCGACACGTGCCACAGGTTACGCACGTAAAATGAATTCGATTTTTTTACAAAAAATACGCAAACGTACGATAATGGACTATCCATTAAAGTTGATCTGTAATTCAATGTTTGCAACATTTTAAGCTGGGCTTATTTTTATTGGAAATTTGTTGCTTCGAGCGCCTACCCGGCACAGTATGAGAAATTGTACGAACCGTTAAAAACAACGGTAATCCATCAATGCGGATGAGAGCGTACTCCGAAAAATACTCACTTAAACCCCGACCATTTGCCTCTCAAAGTAAATGTAAGCTTACTTCATTATAAACGTCAAATTAAAATTGAACTCGCGACAGAATTAGATTCATAAATCCATCGCATGAATTAAATTGAAGCAATCCGAACAATGGGAACTAAAACGCTAATGGCGTCCATTAACGGCATGGGTAGTTGAAAAAGTGTTAAAAACAAAAATAAGATCGTTCACTAAAAGCTTTGTTGGAAAAAGGTGAACTAAACGTGCATTACTGAACGAATGACATCATGGGTTATTATAATGGAGAATAATTTCCTGTGCGGCGACGTGGCGATGTCGTCACGACAGGACAATGCTACACAAATAAAAACTAATGGCCCTTAGGGGTGAGCGGTGACAAAAGAATCCTGTCTACCAACGAACCGTCATATTCCGAGATAATCCAGGAGACTAGCGCGGTTGATATAGGTTAATCGCACGGATTTACGTGGATTCAGTCTTGCAATAACAGAAAATGAACGTTTGTCCCCGTGTAATGCGGATGTTATGAAAGTTTCCAACTATTTTGCGGCATCCAATGTTATTTTTCCTTGCTCGAGGCAGATTGGGTAACAACTGAGAAAGGGTAGCACTAGATTTGATTAAATAAACTGTCCTTATATCTTTTTATAGTGGCGTTTATTTTCTTTGAGAAATATAAAAATATTTCCGCGGTAAACGTCGCTGTGTTGGAGGAAACCCGCCACTATTTTCATGTAAAATTGACAATAAAACGTAATGTAAACGTTATTTTATTTTTCCTTGAACGTGTATTGCGTTACTATATGTTTTACCTTGACTAAATGATAATAGAGTCACTTATAGAGTTTAACCGTCCGAGATACGAACTACATATGTTCGATCAGTTTTTGGTGAAAGCCGATTAGAAATCAATAATTATAATAATTTTAAATACAGCCAAACACACACTCACTGATAATCTATAAGATTAATATAAGTGCCCACTATAAATAGACCATAAAACCCTATCCAAATAAAAGCAAGGTGAAGCAACGTTTTCTCATAAAGGAACGCTCTATTTTCTCCGTCAACCAAAAGGCAAAATAACTTACTGCTTCCGCAAATCTTAAGTCACGTATATCTTACTTTTTCGTGTAAATCTACGATGTTTATCCTCATATATTACATCATATGTGAGATGACGTAGTGTGCTGTCAACGTTCATAATGTCCAAACGCGTTTAGTCAGACAAATGACGGAATATTAGGCTCGGATGCCGCGCACCGCCGCTTCTATAAATTGGAGACCTGTGTTTCTAACTTATTATGTACTCTGAAGTTATGACTTAGGCTGAGTATCATTTTGACTGGGTTATTCATGTTGTAGTTTTGTTTTTGTACAGTTGTTTTGTTATAAGTTTGTTGAATTCCCATTTTTTATTTAATCTTTATATGCGTTAACATTTTCAAAAAAGAAAAGTTTTAAAGTAGGTGTTACAATATAAAGATTGTTTTCCGAGCAAATAATTGACTACGTAAAATATTCACCCACAAGCATTTCCAATAAGACATTTATTGCACTAATTAAACCTGCTATCTAACACTTCCAACAAAAACGATAAAGTATGATAATATCCGATTACGAAATGAAATGAAACAATAGAAAAATGTTCTTAGTAAACGTATTAGACGACAACGTATCAAAAGGAGCTTGAAAAGCGGGTCCATTACCTGGACCAGCCACATCCCTCAAAATTAATGTCTATCAACTATGAGCTCCTGGAGAACGATGACTCTGGATCTCCTCTCGTCCAAAATATTGCCGGCCCTCAATTATACACAGATGGCAGCAGAATTAACGGAGGCGTTGGTTCTGCCTTGACTTGGTGGGAGGGCGGTCGTGAGTCCATGTTTTCCACTTTTAGTTTAGACCCTTCCTGCACGGTTTTCCAATCTGAACTATACGCTTTGAACAGAGCGGCTAAAATGGTTCTCGACAATGGAGCGACTAGAGTAAACATATTTAGTGACTCTAGGTCCTCCCTCGATGTTTTGAAGAATCCCAGGATTACCCACTGTTTGGCCAAGGAGATAAAGCAGTGTTTGGAGACCATAACGGAACAGGGAAGAGAGATTCGATTCTACTGGCTGAGGGCCCATGTTGGAACGGCTGGAAATGAGAGGGCAGACGAATTAGCTAAAACCGCTGCCAAACAGAAAAATAACACCACGACAGACTACTGTAGAATACCCATGTCCTATGTCAAAAAGAAAATTAGGGACGAAACTATCCGTAAGTGGCAGGACAGGTATACCACCTCAACTACTGGGCAGGTGACTAAAACGTTTCTCCCAGATGTCCATGAGGCATATCGAATAGTGAGATCAACAAAGTTGACACCTGCCCAAGTTCAGGCGCTGACTGGACATGGAGGGATCGCTGAATATCTGCATCGATTTAAACTAAAAGAAAGTGCAGGTTGCGAATGCGATTCAACTATCAGTGAGTCTGTATGGCACATTATTCTAGAGTGTCCTCGTTTTCTAGCCGCCAGAACCAACTTAGAAAATGTAATAGATGCAAATCTGGATTCCTCAAATCTGAGTGCCATTCTGGCTGATAAAACCAAAAGACCGCATTTTCTGAGCTACATTGAAACCATCTTCAACAGGGCGGCTGAAAGAAACAGCACATTAAATAATACAAATCGAATAGCCAACTTGGAGAATCAACCAAATACTTCCATGGCAGTATCCGAGATCGCCCGTACCACTGAACCGCTCACCATCAATGAGAGGCAAATACTCTTGCATGGACAATGCGGCTCCAAAGGAATACGGCTACGAAGTGTAGCTCTGTTCATGAACACCAGCAGCGAAAGGCTAGGGATAGCCTTCTGCGAAAGCAAGAACAGCAAATGGCTTACTATTTCACCCGGCTTAGCCTCCCTAATGAATGGCAGCACATCCAAGACAAGTATGCGGCGCAAAACATACGATGCGCTGCCAGAAATGCAACTGTTGGGTCGGAGCTGTCGACTACTGCGAACACGCAATAAAACAATTGCAATGTTCTCCAATGACTCAATGACTTGTTTTGAACAAGCTTGATGACTTGTTGACTATGACTCAATGACTTGTTTTGAACAAGCTTGCGGTGTGCTGTCGGACATGGGTGGGCGGGGAGAGGTCGAGGGTATGATTCCCAGAATAATTAGTGTGGACGCTGCCGTGGTAGCTTATGAGAAGGGGAGAACGGCAGACCTTATAGGATGCGTCAGGGCTTCAGAACATCATGAAGTCATCGTGTACGAGAACAGGGGTGAGGACTTGAGTTTC